ATTCGGAGTGGTTTTTGTAAGTGATAGTGTTAGGCAATTGTAAGCTTGATTTAAGGTTACGGTTAAAAAATCTTGTTGGTTAGGCATGCAGAAGCGCTTCAAAAGCCTAATATTGCTGCTAAAAGGGTATGAATTATTTGTGGCGCCATCTACCGCAAGTCAACAAAACCTGCCGTCGCCGTCATCCGTCGACGCCCGAGGCGTCTGCGGCGGCTACACGAGCAACCCGGACGTTTTGTCTTTCCCTCGCTCGACGGAGTGCGTTGGTCGTGGTCCGTAGTATCGTGGTGTCGTTATTGTTCCTGGTGTCTCGACCTCGACTTCGACTTTGACTGCCCGCCGCGTCGCAAGCATCTTGCGCTCGACGTCGCTCAGGCCGTCCGCCCATGCTGCCATGTTGGTCGGGAATCGGTGGGAGAGCGGGAGAGCGGCGAGCCTAGCAAGCCGGCGAGCGCTGGGGAAACGGAAGCCAGAAGAACCCAGCCGGAAACTAACGCCACTCCGAATGACGTCACAGGCGAAGCTGGTGCCGCTTCAATGTTGAGTTGAGGGGTGCCAGAGATACCAATTTCTTTTATTTTTTTTTTTATGAAAACTAGGGCAAGCAGGAAAGAATAGTTTTCGGTCCTTCGTTTTATATGTGGCCGGATCGATTCCCGCAATCAATTAGCCAAAGTCCGCAAATTGTTGCACCGCCCCTTTAAACTCACAGCTGGGGCACAGGTTCCCAATTTCTTGCGACAGATCATCAGCCTCCTTTGTGGTTTTTATATCTTGATCCTTCAATTTCTCTCCTCGAATGTAGTGTCGCTTTCACGATTACCTCTTCCGATACACTGAAATTTAGCACAACATGCCGGCTCAGATGTAAGCGGTCTAAAGCACCATCTCTGCTGATATGGCAGTGAGTAAAAGTTGTTTGGTCACTGGTGTCAAGAAGATCAACCTTCGTCCAGGGCGAAGGTGCTTGTAACTCACTAAATTCGCAGATGACAGCAGCATTGCAGAAAGTATCATCGGTGAAGAGATCGTCACCATTCATTTTTGCATCAGTACACCAGTGTTTAGCAGGCAGCAGTGGTGTTGTTTGATCGCACAAGTTGCGTTCCCTTCTCTTCTGAGGCACAAGTTTTGACAGATACCTTGGCACATCTGGAAACACTGTCGGCACTGCGTCCTTCACTAGCTGGAACAGGTCGCGAAGAATTTCTATGACCTCACCTTGAATGACATTTTTGAAGGTACTCTCGATGAAACAGGGTTCGGAGTGTCTTTCACACGACATGGGCATCGTCGAGGGACTTGTCACTGCGCTTTATGTTCCGTTCCCACTACTGCAGCCTTTCTGGGTCCTTACCTAAGCACCCAGAAGAGAGATAACTTTGGCTTGTACGAACAGTAGCCACTCCTGCAACCGGGCATAAAATAGGTGCTGTCGCGATTCTGTTGTTTATTTGAAGACATGACGCTTCCCTCGAGGCATTTGGGGCATCGTAGCTGATCAAGAATGGCACATGCTCGGGCAGCTGAAGCTAAATCTAAAACAAAGCACAAAACAAATGAGCGCCCGCATTCAAAGCGTCGCCAGCAGCAGCTACACGTGGAGGCAGCGAGTAGAACCGCACCGGCCGCACTCCAACAGGACGCCAATTGCGCGCAGCACCCCCTGCACACTTCATCCACGGCGCTGCCTTCTCGCTGCATGGGGAGAGGCATTTGAACAGGAGACTAGCCAGTCTTTCTAGGGACTGTACCCACACCACCCTGTGCCCTGTTTCTATAAGAAAGAGAAAAGTGGCTAGGAATTTCATTGTAACTTTTTGAATTTGGTTCTTCACGGGGTAGACCGACGTGCTCGTTCGTCCAACATGCTCATTCCAGTCAAGCATAGCGAGGCTTTGTCTTGGGCCATACGTTTCATTCTTGTAGTGAATGCATTTGTCCATGTACATGAGCACCAAGTTGTTGAACGATTCAATGTAAAAGTGTTTTTGGACCTCACAAAATTGTGTACATACCTGTACACTGTCGTTGACTTGATGAACTTTGTCAAGATATCGAGAGCTATTGGTTCACTGATGATCAGCGTCTCGTAACGTGCCGAATGCCCTTGCATTGCGAATCTGAAGCACATCACCAACGGTCACCGGAAAAAGGATTAACGCAGTTTAGCAGTGTTGCCCATGGGGTGTCAGCATCACCTCCACAGGTGGCCATCGCAAAATAGACATGGTTGCATAGTTGATGGCATTTGTCCGAGAGTTGCTGATGCCACTTTTTTTCCTTCATTTTTCTTTGGTCCCGAGGCTATGCTCATCATGCCCTTTTTTGGACTTTTCGCTGCATGCCAGCGTTTGTTCATGTTTGTCGTATTGCCATTTCTCTCTTGGGTGATCTTCTTTAGAGGGGTCTACCTGTCTTGAGCGTGGTCTTTCAGTTCGATTCCTCTTGAATCAAAATACTTGTTCAACTTCTTTGTCCCCACGACTTTATGATTCTGTTGGTGGTTTTCCTACACGCAGTACCAATAATAAAGCCAAAACTTTATAGAGGAGACCACCTCTATCGACTGAAGGCATAAACACGATGTGAAGCACGTAGTGCGTACGTCGGAAAAGAGATACCGACGAGCGAACCATGGCGTCAAACATCTCCAAGCATCGCGCAGGATAATGCTGTGCCTAACAAAGTCACTTAGGTTGTATATCAGTAAGTGATTGGAGATAAATGACCAAGTATACAAAATATAAATAGAAGAAAATGAATTCCTAGCCAAAGCAGTGCTTATTGCGAGAAAAAAAAAAAAAAAATACTCGATTTTGATAGTTTATGCACCAAAATGTCCGTGCACCAAAATGTACCTGCACCAAAATGTACATGCACCAAAATGTACATGCACTGAAATACCCGTGCGCCGAAATGTCCTACAGCGAAACGCTCTACACTAAAAAGTGCTAGACCCATCGCGGATGGGATCCTCCGTCTGTCCTCCATCACGTCTGCCGGTCCCTGAACCATACTGATTCATAACCGCAGGTCTATGGAACGCGATCCCCGAGATACCGAAAAACCCCGCTTATACATCCCACTGTTGCCATGAATTCGCCTAAACAACGAAAGATGCCAAATGAGAGATTTAGAGTTGAAATAGATACTTCAATGACTACTTCTTTGAACAGAGCAGTTATTTGTGTTCTCACAACAGCAAGTATCATTCTCCAAATCCATGCTATGGTCCTTGGAACGACTTGCTAGTCTCCCGTCCGCTGCCCGGGGCGGCGACTGCTACGGAATGACTGCGTGTGGTGGCGCTGCAAGCAGTTGGTGTGCTATTGGCGGCGCGCCAGCCATCCAGCCATCATATTTCTAAAGTAAAAAACAAAAAAACGCTTTCGCCTGCGTGTGCTAGTTTTTATGTTAAAAATGGACAAAGATTGAGATTTTTGGTACCTTTTAACTCCTCCACCATCTTCCGAGTCACGTGCACTGTGACGTCAATGGGGTTTGCGCGGGGTTCGGGGAAGCTCTCTCTCTAGAGCCACCAGTGAGCAGCGAGAACTCATCCGCTCGTGACCACGTGCGGGCGGGCGCAGCGCGAACAATATGGTGAAAGGAGGAAAGCCTCATCCGGGTCCGGCCATACCCGTCCGGCTCTGTCCCCTTCCCCCTCCGGCTTCTGTTCGCGGTAGCACATAGAGCTGACGCTTTTGTGGACCTAGGATAAATGGCCCCACTAACTCTGTATAATAAAATTTTTGTCGATGATACCAGGTTTTGATGCATTTATATTTATGTTGGAACAAGATTTATAGAAAAGTTACCTTTTATCGAGCAGGTATCCGCACAACTTGCTATCTTTCTACAAGACCCCCATTGACGTCACGCGGCATGTTTCTCATGACTGCCGCTCGCGGCTGCAGGTGGGGGAATATTCTCATTTTTGCCTTGCGATTACGCGGCAGAATCGCAACATTTTGAAGGAAGGAGGTGTGTTTTCTGTCCTTTGTGACAAGGTGAACTATGTCAAAAGTAGAAGATGCCAATTCTTTCAACGTTGAAATCGTTGCACAGCTCCTTTAAGTGGGAAGTTGCTTTGCCGCATTTCACGCAGAGAAGCCATCGTGGCATGTCAATAAGGGCATTCAAAGCACTAGCGACACCGTACCGGCAGAGATGGCTGAGAAAGCCTAGATTTAAGAGGGAGCAGTAAGTACTCCTGCATTTGTGTCGCATGGCCAGTGTGGCGAGGAAACTGTGCAGAGAGGCGGGGACACGTTTGCAGAAGGTGAACGCTTTTGAGTTTTGACTCCTTGCATGTTGCGGCTTGTTTTGCTAACGTGGCCCACAAACCACGTCACCCCAATCGAGCAGTTGGCCCATCTCTCTCTAAAATCTAGACTCTCTATACCGACGACAAACAAGCTTGAGCGTAAACTCAGTGCCGTGCGTGCCTTTGTTTGTTTCGTGATCCGTGTCAGTGTCTGGTCGGTGAGGTCGCTCTTGCGTGAAAGTCTACTTGCTCAAGCACCGATTCGGTGAGTCATCGTCCCTCAACAATGGAGAGTCCCAGCACTGCCGGCAGCTCGACGGGGAGGACGAAGGCAATCTCCTTGAATCAAAAAAGTGCCATCATTGACGAAGTGCGCATAAACATAAAGAAAGCTGTCCGCCGCCGGTGTCCTCCACTGCAGCCGTAGCAGCTGTCGACACGGTTCGTACATAGCAGGATCTTTTTTCGATCGGAGCTTGTCGCAGCTGGCGAGAAGCGGCTGCGAGAAGCGGCTCCAACCTAGCAGAGGACGCGTGCAGGGAAGCCTCAACTGCTTTCTGCAGGCTTGTTAAACATGTGCCCGTCACATCCCGTGTCACGGGCACACGATGCAAAGAAGCAGATATAGTGAAGCGATTTCCGATTCCCGTTGACTCCGTTATAACCGTTCTCGACAGTATTCAGTCCAAATTGAAGCTACTGTAATAAAGAGAGTGCATCCCTTCCTCACCTCCAACCTGCACCTGCTCACAGTGGAGGATCTTGTTCACGAGGGGCACGTGAAGGGAGTAAGTGAGGTACTTGGCGCTGTAGCCAGGGGAGTCGCACCTCCCGTCCCCAGCAAGGTCCAGGGGCTGGTCACGAAGCTCCTCCAGCAGCATGCCTTGCTCCCCTTTCCACACCTGTGCGAGGCAATGCTGATATGTTTGACACTGGCCTAAACGCTGCAATGAAAATGTGCACCCTTTTCTGCACTATTATGGTAGGGGCAGTGGTCACACAAAACATATTATGTGTCGCCTCACTGTTTGTGCCTCAATGGTCCAATCAAATCATTTGGTGCAAATATCATTGTGCATAATCTAGAAAAGAAAGCCCTGCCTCCAGCATGAATGGAATGCAAAGTTGGTGTCTGTTATGGTTGAGCGCACTCCCACCATACGTGCAAAAGCGTTCACACCTGCGGGACGACCCCCTTTTCTCTCGTGCGCTGCTAAAACAGATGGTCTATACTCGCAGTCAGCTTTCTGTGGCAATGCAGTCAATGCTAGGGGCGAGGGTGTGCCAACCGCTGTAGACGTGCTTTCATCCTCTCTTCGGATTGCCACAGAAAAGCTGACCATGAATATAGCATCATGTAAACGACTGGAGGGAACCTGGTTCGAAACCTGGCACCATCCTGTCTTTTTCTTTTTCAAAAGGGTGATTTTGCGTCGCTTCCGTAACTAACTTTCGTTTCAGGCTTCCCTTTCAGAATAGCATTACAGGGAGTGCTAGCAGCCAGCCGCAAACACATTCTGTATTAAAATCCTCCGGTTTACGTTTGGTGACACAGAGTGTGCAGTGCGATTTGGCAGTAGTGTCGTTGGGTCTATGAGCTTCTATCCTCCCACCTCTCACTACACATACTCTGTCACCAGATTTTAAGTGTGAGATGAAAGCACCAATATGACAATTAAATTAAAATAAATAAAATATACACCAACCAAATCCTCGTATAAAGGCAAAACCCTACGTTTCGAGACCAGCTCGGTCTCTTCTTCAGGGGTTGACTGCGGCTATGGCCGTTGAGGAGCAGTAATCTGTTTTCTTCTTCTATGGCAGTGTCTATCGTTTTGCATCGGTGAGGTGGCGAAGTCCGTTCACGTAGCCGGTCGGCAGAGTGCCGAGGGATCTATTTTTATTGAATCTTTTCACATACAAATATCGCCAGAAAACATAAATAGATCCCTCGGCACTCTGCCGACCGGCTACGTGAACAAACTTCGCCACCTCACCGATGCAAAACGATAGACACTGCCATAGAAGAAGAAAACAGATTACTGCTCCTCAACGGCCATAGCCGCAGTCAACCCCTGAAGAAGAGACCGAGCTGGTCTCGAAACGTAGGGTTTTGCCTTTATACGAGGATTTGGTTGGTGTACATTTTATTTATTATTATTGTTGCTCCCCAACCAGAAAGACTTCTCTCAAATGTTCACCTTCAAGGCAATGAAATTGTTTCAGAGCCAAATGAAAATTAAAGGAAATTGCCACATGCCTTGCCCAGTAGTGCACGAGCCACGTAGAGCAATACTTTTTAGCTGTGTGTATCGAACAGCAGCAGAAACAACACTAGCAAAGCGGAAAAAGCAGCGGTTATGATTGGCAGACCCGGCTATATCCCAATAAATCAGTTTGAATGATTCAACCGCATGGTGTCAATTACCGTTCTGTAATCACGCAAGCATACGTGATTGTATAACATTATGTGATTATGCAACATAAAGCGCGAGACACATGTGCGAAAAATCCATCCGATCCGACGTCCGATCCGGCAGTGCGACTGCCTGATCCGAAAAATTTGGTCGCTTCAGGCGTCGGATCGGCGGTCCGACGTGCGTCCAACGTGCCAGATAGTTTCGCACGGCGGACGGATTGTCGGATGCGTCCAGCCAATGACAGCACAGCTAGCGCGAACGTCATGATGACGTACTGGGTCTGGCGGGACGAAGCGAATGCGATAACGGGACAGGCGAGGGGAAGCCGGAAGCGTGGATCCCGCTGACCCATTCGAGAAAGATGGCTTCGGCAAAGAATGCACGCGCTAACGAGAACGAGCTTCTAACTTCGCTCGTGTGAGCTAAACCGTCAATCTGGGACCAGAGATCTGTGAACGCGGGCCTCCGCTGGAGTGCTTGGATCTCCTGGGTGGAGCCGAACGGATAGTCGTGTCGCATGCAAGTTCGGAAGCGTGTGTGTTTTGATTACCCTTTGCCAGCTGGATCTCGACTGACTCCTTCCCTGGCTTCCCGGTGCTTAAATAGGAATGCCGGGAGTGCCCCCTGGCGGCGCCCCCTCATTGGTCGGTTTTGGGATCATGTGCGGATGACCCTTGAGGGAGCGTCGGCAGGGTTCACCAGGGTTGGAATCCATCGAGCCCAGAGGCTCTTTATTACGAAAAGTACAGAAATTGCCGTGGCAAGTTGCCACGGCAGGGCTCTCCCATGACCTCTGGTGATCGCTTGTACTACGGCTTGGTTGTCGCACAGGATTATGGCGTGGTCCGGGCACAGGAGGGCGGCCAACGCCAAAGCCTTAGCTTCCCGAACGTAGATGTCTGGTGCGGGGGTCGTGATGATGGCGAGGTTGCCTTTGCTTGTAGCAAGTCCCATTCCGATTGGACTTGCGTCCGAGGCGATGGTCTCGGTGGGGGATCGAATCCACCACGACGTGCGGTGCGGTAGGGCCGTCCAAACTTGCTGGAGGGTGTCGACATAGCGGTCAGGTAGAGGTTGGGGCGTATGTAGGAGGCGAAACAAAGGTCCAAGCATGTGATAATGGCCTCTATACAACGAAAAATAAAACACTAAATGTCCAACATAGCGCTCGACAGTCTTGGGCGGCAGTGGTGTCTTCAGTTGTTGGAGCAGCTTGGCCAAGTCTTGTTTGCGTGGCCCTGTGTGGCCGATCATTTCGTCCTTGCCTTCGAGTAAAAATCCCAGGAACGTGATGTTCTGGGTTGGTTCCATCCTGGTGTCTTTTGGATTGATCCGAATGCCGCAGTTCTCTAGTTCTTGGGCAAAGTTGCGGGTGACTCGGGCAAGGAAAGCGGGGTCGGGGTGGGCGAGCAGAAAATTATCTAAGTGGCTCCAGGCCCACACCCCGACCGCGCGAAGATGGCGTGAGAGTGCTGTGGCCAACTGCTGCATTACAAACGGACCCGGCCTCAAACCGAAGGGGAGGCGGGTGAAACAAAAATACTGATTGTCCAGTTTGAAAGTTGTCAAGCGTTGGGTATGTGGACTTAAAGAAAAATGATAATACGCCTCCGCGAGGTCGATCTTCGTAAAATACGCTTTCTTGGGAAGCGGATTCTCAAGAATTGCCACGGGCAAAGGCTTCAGGTAGAATCTCGGCGCTTTCATGTGGGGGGTGAGGGCGGACGCATTCAAAATGAAGCGGCTCTCGGTTGCACTTTTGGGGGCTAGTTGAATGGGGCTGAGGAATTTGCCTCTTGTTGTGCGCTTAAGTACTCCGGATTCCAACATGGATTTGACGGCCGTTCTTAAAACTGGGACTTGGGATGGCGGTGGGGGGCGGTTGTTAACTGCAGTGTTCCTTGTACATTGGAATTGCAGGGCGGAGGGATCACACGGTGGGAAGTAGCCGAAAGTTTTGCTCACCCTGTCCCAGTCGACGTTGGGGGGGGAATGTGACGGCCGGACCGGAGGGTGGGGTGGTCCTGCTTGTCGGGCTGGCTGCTGGCGGGAGTCCGTTTCCTCGGAGAGGTTCTGGTCCTCTTCGTCGTTGTCGGCGGCATTTCGAGGCTGGTCCGCTTGAGGGGGGATGGTGGGCTGATGCGCCTCAAGGTACCGCAGGATGCGGTCCGCGCCGACTTGATGGGTGTCGACTTCCTCGGGCTCTGGCTGGGGCTGGTGGAGGACTTGTTGGGGCTGGAGCTGCGGAACAATGCCCGCGATATTCAGGGCTTGGGCCAAGATATCATCTTCCGCGACAACGTCCTGGACGAGCACTAAGGTGGGCTGGTGGTTAACCACGAGCCACTGTGGTCTGGGGTCTGATAGAACACAGTTGAGGTGAAGGGGAGTCCCTTCTGGCGCTTTAAAGTAGTCCTTTAGTCCTTGGATTTCGACGGGCGTCGGAATCACAGGGGGCGGCAACGGGGCTGCAACAGGGGCAGCTGGGGTTGGGGCGAAGGCCCTCGAGTTGGTGACCCCTGGTTGGGGTCTGGGTGGGACACAGGGTGTCCGGTTAACTCGCCGGCTGTTGCCGGTTCCGGCGAAGTAACACGTGTGCGCTCTGGTGGCGCTAAGGAACGCGGGGGGCTCTGGAGTAGAGACTGGAACCTTCCTTGAGGGTCAAGGGGTAACTTGCGAAAGAGTTCTCGGGGTGGACTAGGTCCGAGCACTCGTCGCGGGGAGGAGAAGAGGGTCTGGGACTCACTTATCCTCCTTGGGCTGGTTCCTTTTTGGGTTGTCTTTCCTGCTTTGGCGGCCGGGGTTCTTGCGAGGCCTTGTGGGGCTTGCTCCTCGTTGAGGCTGCTCCGTGCGTCTTGCGGGTGGTCCCAGCAGGTAGCTGGCGCTTGGATCGGCGTAGCCGTCGAGTGCCGTATTCCACCCGCTGGTGGCGACGTGGTACAGGAGCCGTACCCTGTCAAAGACTCGGAGGCGCCTCTGGGGGGCGAGGGGGGGGGTAGGAATCCCAGACCTCCAGGAATGACTCGAGCAGCTGGAGCTCGATGATATCACGTTTCGAAAGTAGCTGGGTGCTTCGGTTGGCATTCTGCACGTGAATGAATGCTTCCCCAAGATCCCTGCGGGTGGGGATTCGGAGCGGCGTTCGGACTGTCGGATCGGACGATTCTGCTGTCCATGTGTCTCGTGCTTAAGGCGATCACGTAAAGTCAGACAATCTTTCGCACATTGGGCAGCTAGGAACAAATTTTTTTTTTTTCCGTAATGTTTACTGTAAACTTTATCTCTCGGAAACCATAAATATATTTTGTGTTAACCCTGCATACGAATGTAGAAGCACATCAGGCCAAGATCAGATAGCATCATAATCACCTGTTCGACTGCTGGAATCAAGATGGCCTGCTGGTAATTGAAGAAGGTCTTCCTGCAGATGACTTGGATGTTCATGAGACGCCACAGCCGCAGGGTTCTTGTTGGAGAAGCACCCGTAAACAGGACGAGCGATGAGAGCAGCAGATCTCCAACAGCCCTTCTTTTGATGCACGGCTGGCTGTCCCAGCGGTGTGTGTGCTTAGCAGGACAACAGGTGCGCACAGTCAGGAGCGTGCCTCTTACTTTCATAGACACGGTGCAGCTGCTGTAGCATGTCTGGCATATTGCAAACAACAGTCGTAAGCAGCTCTCAAATACAATAAACTTCCTCTCCTTGTAGCCTGGCTCCCCGCTTGTGGTGGCATCATCCCTGGAAAAGTTAACAGTGTTTAGAGTTATTGAATAACTTCTGTGCTCACATTACCAAAAAGAATAGAGCATTATTGCCTCATTCATGTCTTAGCAATTGACTAATACGTGTTAGAGACATTCTATGCAAACAACACTATTTACAACCGCTAAAAATTTTGCAAAGTGCAAGTGTTTGATCAAAATGGACTAACACTTGCATCAAATATGACTTACTAAAAAATTTATGGTGTCTTGCTAGTGCAAATTATGTGGCACACTGCATTTTCTTTGCCCTAACCCAATGAACCTATTCCGAGAAGATTTCTGCGTGCACTGAACATGTTTATATAGCTCCATTCATAACAAGCAAACATTGCGATTGATGGCCGAGTGATCTAAGACGTCGTGTTTTTGATCTCCCACCGTAGTATTAGTTGCACTGTAAAGCAAGCAACTACATGTTCCTTCCTGTCTAGCCTGCTTTATCTAAAAGAAAAAAAAACATTCTTACTTGACAGACCCTTTTTTGACGAATGGCTCGTACAGGGGGTTTCCTCTGTCCTCGTCATCCTCGTTGTAGTCGTCGTCTTCCTCCTCCTCCTCCTCCTCCTCCTCCTCCTCCTCCTCCTCCTCCTCCTCCTCCTCCTCCTCCTCCTCCTCCTCCTCCTCCTCCTCCTCCTCCTCCTCTGAATCACTTGCGTGGGGGCTCATGGCGGGTGCCAGGGCCGGGTTAAGCGGTGGCACTGGAGTGGTTGTGGTGATGGTGGCATGGTTGCTGGTGCTGTGGCCGCTGCTGCTGGCAGTACTGCTGCTGCCAGGAGGCAGCTCCGAGCCTTCCGTCTGGACCCAGTGGCTGGTCACACCTTTCGCGTAAAAATTTACCTGCGTGCCTGAAGGAAGGAAAGGGGTTAGCATACTCGGTTCTTCCTTCTGCTTCTGACCAGAACAAGCTTCTACAAAATTGTGTTCTGGCACAAGACTACACTTCTCAGAACCTCATGAACCGGAACTACCAAGTTCCCGTTCATATTGAAATGAACATCAACTACAGCAGGGGTGGCCAAACTGACAGTGCGGAAGAGCCGCAAACGAAAATTGCTAAACTTCAGAGAGCCGCCGACAAGAGGGAGAGGCAGAACATTTCCTCAACAGCCAAGCAGAAGTGCACGCATGCTTTTGCAATTACAGTCCCTGACTTGCTTTGCAGGATCCGAAATTATTTCAAGAATTATAAAGGAAAGAGTTCTTTGAGTACACATCTGAGTCCAAAGTGACCCAACTGTATGCATGGTGTGAAACGGCTCCAAAACGGCAAGTATTCGTCAAGCAGACGAATACGGGCAGCTCTTTCCATGCTTACCAAACGACTTTTTTCCCAGCCTAGGGTCTGTTCTAGTCGATCTGTCTTTCGTGACAGGCGGCCTCAGAGTTAGCCCAGGCTCCACCTGAACTGCTGCGTCGCGTGCAGTCGGTGGGTCCACCTGAAGCGCTGCGTCGCTTGTCGATGCTCGGTGACGGAAGTGGCACCTGCCCTCACGAGGCATCTGCTCACGAGGAGTCTGGTCAACGAAGCAGTCCATCTCCTCAACCGGATCATCGTCCTAGAAACCGAAAATTTTCGGTAAGCCGCTGCGCTAGAGGTTTTTGACCGTCTGCCGCTCACTGTATCGTAACAGTGCACTCACCAGAGTTCGCTGACGTTTGGACGCTGGATCTTCGGCTAGGGAAAAGGGAGGCTTCCCGGTGAGGGGCGAACAAAGCGATGGAACCGCCTCGGGCTTCAGACGGACATCCTTCATGGTCTGCCCGGCGTCTTGAAGCACACTTCCTACGCGACAGTAGTCACGATCCCCGTCGAAGTGATCGGAACACACGCGGAGCTCAACCTGTCCGGGGTCTTTCCTCCCGATCCTCCGACACCACTCAGCTCGGTGAAGTTCATCACACGGTAAAATGTGATAGCCGATGACTCTTCCTTGCTCCCGGAGCTGGCGGCTTCCTGGAGACCGGTTCGGACACAGCGGAACACCGCGCCCGGTCGGCATTGTCGACGTTAGCAGCGGAAGATCAAACTAGATACTGAAAACAGAAAGTTTGCTCGTTCCTCACGCCATGAGCAAGTGAGCAACGCTGCAACGCCACAGAGCAAAAATGATTTTGTTGACATCTGATAGATGGCGCCACTAAAACTACGAATAATATTTCGTGAATGGTAGGATACTTTCGATACATTTGTTTATGTCAATACGACAAGATTTCTAAAAATAAGCCTTATGTTTAGCAGATAATAGCACAACTTGCCAATGTTTTACACATTCCCCACTTGACGTCACGCGCGCGTCATGTCCACGTCACGTTGGCCGCGCTCTGTGGTTCCGACAACCAGCTCTGTGCGGCTGCAGGCCGGTAAAAAAACAGTTTTAAAATGTCCAGTTACTTAGTGAAATCGCAACATTTCCGAGGAAGCTTTAGTGTTTTCTGTCACTTAGGGCAAAACACATAGGATAAAAATTACAGGCTGCGATTTCTTTCAACGTTAATATTGGTGCACAGCCCCTTTAAAGGGGCCCTGCACGAGGAAGAAGAAAATTAAAGTGTGTTTGGAATGGAGCACCAATCAGTGGCAAACGCAGGCACTTGGTGACGTCCTGCTGACGGCATTGGTTCAGAGCGTTTAACAATGACGACATTGGCTGGACTGGCTGGAAAAGTACACGTGACATCAACGTTCATGCATACTGGCGAGTGGCATTTTCTCCCATCTTCAAGTGAAGCACCTACAAATCCGTGGGCCGTTCACATCTTTTATAAAGAGATGTTCCAACATTTGTGAACGCTGCTGGTTCTGCCTGCATGTACTCGTTGTGCTGAGTCTCCATTGGGCTATTTCAACTGTGTCATGAACAAAGAGAAAAGGTAGCTGCAGTCGTGAGTTTATTTCACATATTATATTCTAAGTAACACAAACTGGTTAACAAATACATTTTACTGTGTTACTAAAGTCTCATATACTACCTTGTGCATAGGTTATGTATGCACAGACAAACCTATCGGAAACCCATTGCAGGGCCCCTGAAGTGAATAATCCACTTACCAATGACGACATAAATTTTTTCTGGGGTGAGCACCCCACTGCCCCACCCTTCAGAAGGCGCCTGCAGGCTTGCTCAGTGACGCTTCGGTCAAATAGCGCTTCAGGCTCCCACAGACCACGACTGACCATCCTGATGAACCGTCCTGGACTGGAGGCATGGCCGACAGCATGGTTCAGTGTGGTTTCCACCATAGTGATTCCGTGGCCAAGACGAACCTGCAGCGTGGCACGCAATTTCAAAATAAAAAAAGATGGCCATCTTTATTCCCCTGTAGAGCTGCTGTGATCGTGTTCTGTATGACTTAAGTTTGAAACAATCTGTGTCATTGCTGATATCAAAATAAGCAAGTTATTAGCACCTCCTTTTTACATATCACAGCGTCTTGATCACCGACACAAGATGGGCGTACCTTCATGTAACACTACTACTTTTCACAATTCATTCATACCCCGAACTACAGTGTTGTGGAACCACCTTCCAGCGTCTGTGGTATCAATATCTGACAGCGTTGCTTTCAAAAATTGCCTTAACAATGTTCACATTTCAGCGTTTCACTAATATGTACATTAAATAAATAAATAAATAAAAGCAGTAAAAAAAGGGAGTGTGCAAAAAAATGGGTTTTTATTGCTCTACTGTACTCGTAGCATAATGCTATTCATCAGATGACAAAACCTTCTGTAGCCACCGTTTGTTAAAATAATATACTTTAAAGTAGAAAAGAAAGACCACCTATGCCACTGACTAGTATTATAATAATACAGTAGAACCTCAGTTTGTTAGAAATTTCAGATAATTCATAGAATTTCTACAGTCCCGTAGTTTCACATGTAAATATGACCAAATAATATGTACGACCAGAGTGCACCTACTTTGTTAATTTGTAGATTTTTGTCAGCCCGGCTCATTTTTTACACTCAAATTCATTAGCAGAAACAAACATGGCGGGTCTTCGCCATTCCGTTTCGTTTCTTGTTCGCATGCGAATCCATGTGCTTAAAAGAACTTCTTTGTGTGCTTCTCTGCTTTTTCCGGTGTGATCTGGGGGTCAGTGAGGTCAGTCTCATGTGCGATTGTAGGGCAGACAGAACATGCCAAAGCACAAAACCCTAACGCTGCACCAGAAAGTGTGCCTCATTGAGAAAGCGAACAAGTCCGAATTTTCGAGAACGAAGCTTGCTGAGAAACATCAGGTGCCTCTTCACGAGGATGAAGGTTCTCGAGGCCTCCTACAAGATGCACTCCTCAAAGCGTTTACTAATTCGTCGTACATGCTATGCAGACACTGAAAGTGATATTGCTGGGAGTGTGGCTGACGTAGACCAAGATGACAGCGACTTTAAGCCCACCCGAGCCTTCACTCTTGAAAAGTCGTCCAATTGCTAGGTGGTGTCTGCAGTTTTGTGGAGTGTGTAACGGTGGCTATTCGGAAATGGTTGCCTGGTCGTCATTTTTGAGAACAGAATAACTGTCACTAACCGCAGGACGTGGCAAACACGGATTGACGATTACTTTATGTAATCATATCACGTGGTGCAAAAAAACGTTGTGCAAAAGAAAGCCAACTATAGATGAAATCCTTCACAGAGTTATCGTTCTAGCAAGTTACGTCATTCATCTCTTCATAAACCTCGATCCTCGGGTGGGAATTTCCATGGAAGATGCCCCCAATCCTGTGGTGCCTGCATACCTAATTTTCCAGCATATTAGGGAAGGCCAGGACTAGCCAAATGTTGGGATTAGAACAGGGCAATGCAGCAGAGCTACAGTGCTAGCAAAAAAGTAAATCCAAGCATCTCTGAAGTCCACATTCACGTTGGAGACTAAGCTCAAAGAAGGGAGCATTGAGTATTAATCTCCACGTCACGTGGACAGACTGACCGACAAGGGAGCATAGCCTTTTGCAAAGAAAGCAAACATCAAGTTCCTAGGCAGGCCTCTTTGCAGGCGGCTGTTGATGCAGCATATGTACTTGTTGGGAGCTTTCATTGGACGCTGTAGCCAATGGGGATGAACACTAGTAAAAATATTCTTCGTTTCTTATCCCTTGGGTGCACAGTAGCTGAGGGACTGCTCCATATTCTTTGTCTCCATGCAGTTACCTGAAAAAATCTCGGGGAAGTGCCAGTGATTTTTGACAGATTGTAAAGCGAGGGGCACACACACGGTAAAACTGGGTGCCTTGCGGCGCAACACTCGGCGATGCACGCAAATGCCCGTCGCGCGAGATTTTGATTACCCTTTGCCAGCTGGATCTCGACTGACCCCTTCCCTGGTTTCCCGGTGCTTAAATAGCAACGCCGGGAGTGCCCCCTGGCGGCGCCCCCTCATTGGTCGGTTTTTGGGATCATGTGCGGATGACCCTTGAGGGAGGTCGGCAGGGTTCGCCAGGGTTGGAATCCATCGAGCCCAGAGGCTCTTTATTACGAAAAGTACAGAAATTGCCGTGGCAAGTTGCCACGGCAGGGCTCTCCCATGACCTCTGGTGATCGCTTGCACCACGGCTTGGTTGTCGCACAAGATCATGGCGTGGTCCGGGCACAGGAGAGCGGCCAACGCCAACGCCTTCGCTTCCCGCACGTAGATGTCTGGCGCGGGGGTCGTGATGATGGCAAGGTTGCCATTCCTTGTAGCGAGTCCCATGCCAATCGGGCTTGCATGCGAGGCGATGGTCTCGGTGGGGGATCGAATCCGCCACGACGTGCGGTGCGACAGGGCCGTCCAAACTTGTTGGAGGGTGTCCACATAGCGGTCAAATAGAGGTCGGGGCGAGTGTAGGAGGCGAAACAAAGGTCTGAGCATGTGATAATGGCCTCGATATAGGGAAAAATAAAACACTAAATGTCCAACATAGCGCTCGACTGTTTTGAGCGGCAGTGGGGTCTTTAGTTGCTGGAGCAGTTTGGCCAAGTCTTGTTTGCGTGGTCCTGTGTGGCCGATCATTTCGTCCTTGCCTTCGAGTAAAAAGCCCAGAAAGGTAATGTTCTGGGTGGGTTCCATCCTGGTGTCTTTTGGATTGATCCGGATCCCGCAGTTCTTGAGTTGTTGAGCAAAGTCGCGGGTGACTCGGGCAAGGAAGGCGGGGTCGGGGTGGGCAAGCAAAAAATTATCTAAGTGGCTCCAGGCCCACACCCCGGCCGCGCGAAGATGGCGTGAGAGTGCCGTGGCCAACTGCTGCATTACAAACGGGCCCAGCCTCAATCCGAAGGGGAGGCGGGTGAAACAAAAATACTGATTGTCCAGTTTGAAAGTTGTCATGCGTTGGGTACGTGGACTTAAAGAAAAATGATAATACGCCTCCGCGAGGTCAATCTTTGTAAAATACGCTTTCTTGGGGAGTGGGTTCTCAAGAATTGCCACCGGCAAAGGTTTCAGGTGGAACTTCGGCACTTTCATGGGGGGGGTGAGCGCCGACGCGTTCAAAATGAATCGACTCTCGGTCGAACTCTTGGGGGCTAATTGAATGGGGCTCAGGAACTTCCCTCTCGTTGTGCGCTTGAGCACTCCGGATTCTAGCATGGATTCAACGGCCGTTCTTAATACTGGAACTTGGGATGGCGGTGGGGGGCGGTTGTTGACTACCGTATCCCTTGTACATTGAAATTGAAGGCCGGAGGGATCACACGGTGGGAAGTAGCCGAAAGTTCTGCTCACCCTGTCCCAGTCAACGTTGGGGGGGGAATGTGACGGCCGGACCGGAGGGTGGGGTGGTCCTGCTTGTCGGGCTGGCTACTGGCGGGAGTCCGTTTCCTCGGAGAGGTTCTGGTTCTCTTCGTCGTTGTCGGCGGCGTTTCGAGGCTGGTCCGCTTGAGGGGGGACGGTGGGCTGATGTGCCTCAAGGTACCGCAGGATGCGGTCCGCGCCGACTTGATGGGTGTCGACTTCCTCGGGCTCTGGCTGGGGCTGGTCGTGGACTTGTTGGGGCTGGGGCTGCGGAACAATGCCCGCAATATTCAGGGCTTGAGCCAAAATATTGTTTTCCGCGACAATGTCTTGGACGGGTACTAAGGTAGGTTGGTGGTTGACCATGAGCCACTGTGG